GAGGTATACATCGGACTTCCCCATCATCCCGCATTACCCACCAAGTGTATCCAGGTCCCTGAGCAAAAGCAATCCCACGAGTAGGTTTGCCTTTACCTGAAGCAGGAATAACCCAGACTGTCTTCCCCAGCAAATTCTTCATATGCACCACAGGAACTTTGCCCCCTACTACAATATGCAAAAGTTCTGATTGGGCTGGGCCAGCCCTGTTGGCAGATCCTCTGGTGTTGACCAACCAGGTGGCCTTTGGTAAGTGTGTATCCCAATGCTTGAAAGTTCCCCCACCCATTGCTCTCAGTGTGGTTTTTAACAGCCCATTGTACCTTTCGATTTTCCCAGAGGCTGGTGCATGGTAGGGGATGTGATATACCCACTCAATGCCATGCTCTTTGGCCCAAGTGTCTATATGATTATTCTGGAAATGAGTCCCATTGTCTGACTCAATTCTCTCTGGGGTGCTGTGTCGCTATAAAATGTGTTTCTCAAGGCCCAGGATAGTGTTCCGGGCAGTGGCGTGGGGCACAGCGTATGTTTCCAGCCATCCGGTGGTTGCTTCTACCACGGTAAGCACATGACGCTTACCTTGGCGGGTTGGTGGCAGTGTGATATAGTCAATCTGCCAGGCCTCCCCATATTTATACTTCAGCCATCGTCCTCCATACCAAAGAGGTTTTAACCGTTTGGCTTGTTTAATTGCAGCACATGTTTCACACTCATGAATAACCTGGGCAATAGTGTCCATTGTTAAGTCCACCCCTCGATCACGGGCCCATCTATATGTTGCATCTCTGCCCTGATGGCCTGAAGTGTCATGGGCCCACCGGGCCAAAAATAATTCACTTTTATGTTGCCAATCTAAGTCCATCTGAGCCACTTCAATCTTAGCAGCTTTATCCACTTGTTGGTTGTTCTGGTGTTCCTCAGTGGCCCGACTCTTGGGTACATGGGCATCTACATGACGTACCTTCACCACCAGCTTCTGCACCTGGGCAGCAATATCTTTCCACAGTGTAGCAGCCCAGATAGGTTTACCTCTACGTTGCCAGTTGCTCTGCTTCCATTGCTGCAACCACCCCCACAGGGCATTTGTCACCATCCATGAGTCAGTACAGAGATTAAGTACTGGCCACTTTTCTTGTTCAGCAATGTCCAGGGCCAGCTGGATGGCTTTCACCTCAGCAAACTGACTCGATTCACCCTCTCCTTCAGCAGTTTCTGCAACTTGTCGTCGAGGATTCTATACAGCTGCCTTCCATCTCCGATGTTTACCCACAATACGGCAGGACCCATCAGTAAACAAGGCATACTGCTTTTCACTTTCTGACAGCTGATTATATGGTGGGGCCTCTTCAGCACGGATCTCCTCCTCTGGTGACATTCCGAAATCTTTGCCCTCTGGCCAGTCCATGATGACTTCTAGAATGCCTGGAGGACTGGGATTTCCTATTCGAGCTCGTTGTGTAATTAGTGCAGCCCATTTACTCCATGCAGCATCAGTTGCATGATGCGTAGAGGAGACCCTGCCTTTGAACATCCAGCCCAGCACAGGCAAACGGGGTGCCAGGAGGAGCTGTGCTTCGGTGCCAATCACTTCCGAAGCAGCTCGAACCCCTTCATAGGCTGCCAGTATCTCTTTTTCAGTTGGGGTAGAGCTTGTCTCGGATCCTTTGTATCCCCGACTCCAAAAGCCAAGGGGTCGACCTCGAGTCTCCCCTGGAGCTTCCTGCCAGAGGCTCCAGGTAGGGCCATTCTCCCCAGCTGCGGTGTACAATACATTTTTTACATCTGGCCCAGTCCGAACTGGTCCAAGGGCCACTGCATGAACTATCTCGCGTTTAATTTGCTCAAAGGCTTGTTGTTACACAGGTCCCCATTTAAAATCATTCTTCTTATGGGTCACATAATAGAGAGGGCTTACAATCAAACTGTAATTTGGGATGTGCAGTCTCCAGAATCCCACTGCACCCAAGAAAGCTTGTGTTTCTTTCTTATTAGTTGGTGGAGACATTGCTGTTACCTTGTTGATTACATCTGTGGGGATCTGTCTACGTCCATCTTGCCATTTTATTCCCAGAAATTGAATCTCCTGTGCAGGTCCCTTGACCTTACTTCGTTTTATGGCAAAACCGGCTTTCAGCAGGATTTGGATTATTTTCCTCCCTTTCTCAAAGACTGCTTCTGCTGTATCGCCCCACACAATAATGTCATCAATGTATTGCAGGTGTTCTGGGGCTTGCCCCTGTTCCAGTGCAGTCTGGATCAGTCCATGGCAAATGGTAGGGCTATGTTTCCAGCCCTGGGGCAGTCGGTTCCAAGTGAACTGGACACCCCTCCAAGTAAAAGCAAACTGTGGCCTGCACTCTGTTGCCAAAGGAATTGAGAAAAATGCATTGGCAATATCAATCGTGGCATACCACTTGGCTGCCTTTGACTCCAGTTCATACTGAAGTTCTAGCATGTCTGGTACGGCAGCACTCAAGGGTGGTGTGACTTCATTCAGGCCACGATAGTCTATTGTTAGTCTCCACTCTCCGTTAGACTTTTGCACTGGCCATATGGGGCTATTAAAGGGCGAGCGGGTCCTGCTGATCACTCCCTGACTCTCCAGTCTACGGATCAGCTGATGGATCGGAATCAGGGAGTCTCGGTTGCTGCGATATTGCCGCCAGTGCACTGTTGTGCGCCAAAAAGAACTGTCGTGGTTTAAACCCAGCCAGACAGCTTGTGCACTCACTCCCAGTGAGTGGTGCTGGGCTGGAAGCAATCGAGGCCCACGTCCGCCCCCCCCTCCCCAGGGGCTCCCCCCCTTCCCCGCTCCCAGAGGGATGGGGAGGAGAATCGAAAGAATGCAACTCCCACGGGCTGAGATAAGAACAGTCTAGCAACCAATGTACAATACAAATCACCACCGCTACCACCACTAACAACAATGATAAGAGATAATAGCAAGGGAAAAGAGTACAATACCACCCGCCGAACAACGAGTCTGACCCGGCAGACCCCCTGTCCTTCCGGGTAACTCCCAGTTCCCCCCTGGGCATGACGTGCTGTGGTATGGAATACCTCTTTGGTCAGTTTGGGTCAGGTGTCCTGTCTCTGCTTCCTCCCGGCTTCCCCTCCTCCCTGGCAGAGCATGAGGCTCACAAAGTCCTTGGCCAAACCAAAACATCATTTTTATCAGCTTTGTTCCCAGCCCGAAAATCAAAACACAGCATTTCAACAGCTACCAAGAAAGAGAAAAAATGACTGCTAGTGCTAAACCCAGGACAAATCTTCATATATTTAAAGACTCCCATCTTCCAGTGTCCATAACAAATAGACCAGTACAAGAATTAAAAAGCCCATAGAACATAGTTCCTTTTTTCCTGTTTCTTATTTCTTGCCTTCTGCAGTAGATCTTATGGTAAATATTTTGTGGCAGTTACCACGTTCATTTTGCATAATTATATTGTATTATATACTGTTTGAACTTCCAAGAAGTTTATCAACTTTCAATAAATGCTAACTTGGCCAGAATTTTTGCCTAAGAGTATATTATCAATTCCCTGAAACGTTCAACTAAAACTAGATGTCTTTCAAAGCCAAGAAGCTCTCTTTCATTGAGCAGGATCTTTGGAAACAAATACCAAAATATTAAAAAAAAAAACCCAAACCTCTAAAAGTGTATTATCCTAACTTAGTGGTGTTTAATCTTTTAATTTTGTTTTCCATGTAATGCCAAGGAAAGACTCTCCTCTAGGTAAATGTATTCTATATATACACACAAATGAATACAGCGGAAAGAAATTAATTTCCTGAAGTAATAACTTATTGCAGTAAGCTTCTAGAGCGATACTATCTGATGTTGCAAAGCCATTTGAGACTAATAAAACTTATGCTAATTTGCTCAGTAGTTTGACATCACCTAGGGTGTGAGCTTTTAGCCTATCATCTTCCTATTAGCCATGTAACTAGATAATGGTCAAAAAAGGATTTACCTTCATCAAAGGCTGACACTGCAACTAGCTTGATTTTCAGTAAGGATGTCTGGAGGCCAGACTGATTAATGTAGAAAGTACTCAAGCAGCCTGTGTGTGGGATATACGTAAGTTAATAAGGTTCCAATTGCTTAGTCTCAAACCATTGGTCATTTGAAATCATATGAAGTCCACTGAACTTCTTAGGAGACACCTTGACCTTTTCACAGACACCAGCTGCTGGATCTCTACTCACTCAGAAGCCAAGCTAGAAGTGAGAGATTGTCTACTGGCATGATGCCCTGGATTTAGATGAACAAATCTGGAAAATTTCTGATTATGTGACAGGCAATGGCCTCAATTAAAAAAGAAAAGTGAGTTTTCACTACTGAGAAGTCTTGATAAGTCTTGATAAGCTTATTCATAGAGCTTTCACTGATTCAAGGATGGAACTGTATTCATAGCTTCTCCCATGAAAGTGGAAACTTATATCTTAATATTTCTTTTTGTACATATTACCATACTTTTATACCTGTGGCAGAACAAACACATCCCAAATTTCATCACTCTAAATGAAGTGACCTGCACTTCTGATCAAAGCATCATTCACGTTTTAATGATGCTTTTCAACAATGAAGGCAATTTTCCCTTTCCTGTCAATACCCATTTCTATTATTTATACTTTAAAATCCCTACTGAATGCCTCCAATAAAATTAACATTTTAATATACACAAAACTCCCTATTATAAATAGTAGCTTCCAAGAGAATGAGAAATTCTCCGAATTACATATCATAATCCAATTTATAGGGTGAAGAAAATCGTTTACAGAAGAAAAAAAAAACTTCAAAAGAAAAGTTACACAAGCTTTTGAAGGCTTTTAGAAGGTGCTTAGTTACAACTAACTACTGGGCAAGTTAGTTAAAAATCTTAGCATAATCTTAAGAAACACTAAAATCTTATGATCATATTAGTAAGTTATCAGCAATATATTATACAAATTCTTTACAGAAGTATAAAATGCACACAACTATTAAAACTTACCTATTATAATATCTGCCTCCTATCATAAACTGATTGCTTGATGTTGGACATATTTTAAAACGCTGAATATTTTCACAGGTCCGAAAATAAAGTGAATAATCACCAGGTGTATTATCTGAAGGCCTCACAAGAAAACTGCACACCTGACCAACTGAAAAGATATCATAATACAGTGTTATTCACTGTTACTTCTGTCATTTATGAGCTCTTATCAAAGCTCTTTCTGTACAAATTAACAAGAATTGCACACTTAAAGGAAAGTCTGATTTAAATTTCAACAGTGATCTCCGTTCTTCACCCAAATAGGATGAAGTAGTACTAAACCGCCAGTTAATGCAAAATCATTTGGCTGTAGCTGACAACCTATCCCTACTTTTGCCACCTCTTTACAAGAGCATATGGGGGGGATGTGTGTGTAAGTCTGACAGTATTTAAAAAAAAATTCAAAACACTTTTGTTCTTATATTTAAGGCATGCTAGTTAAAAGTATGAGTCAGAAATCTTGATGTTTTCATTTGAAAAATTCTTTCCTTCATGAGGAGCCTAAAAAGTTTATAACATATTCTCCTATAAGTACATAACAGTATTTTCTCCTCAGCATTTTGATGAAGCCCAAGATCTTTTTAATTTATATTACAAAAATAAAAATATTTAACTATTCCAATTAGAATTATGAAACTAACTGTACTTGAGAACATAAAAAAATACTCAGTGTTCAGCCATGAGGATTTTTTCCAATGTAGTAGTAACTACAGGTCTGATGTTCACATGTTTATACAGAAAAAATAGGGTTTGCTGCAGTCTGTTACAAACATCATTGATTTGTTTCATTCTACTATCACTGTATTTCCATGTGAAATACAAGTACCTGTCATCAGCAAATAGTATGCCTCTTGTTTGGAGATCTTCCCATGGAACCATCTTAAAGGGGAAAAATTAGAAAGCAAGACATTTCATTTTTTACTTGTTGTGACATCTAAGATTCTGACACTTATGAACTAATATCTGGCACCTATGAATTAATATCTGGCACCTATGAATTAATCTTTATAAAAAAATATGGCACATATAGATTATACAAGCAACTTTTATGTTACTCAGCAATTCTGTTTTTCTGCCAACAGAATAAAAAAATATCTACAGCTATATAAACTACCTTATTTCAATACAAGCATCCAACACATAGTAGATGTTCAAATCCAAGTGTGTTTAGAGATGAAAAGGCACTGTTTAAATGCTAGATAATTTGACAGGCATATTTGAAGTCAGACTCAGATAGCAATTTATTTGAAGTGTGAAATGCAAAGCCCAACAAGATTTATGGAAACTAAATACTGTATGAAATAAATAAAATTTAATTTTGCTAGAAGCTAAGGAAATAAAACCTAGCTTTGTTAGGCTACTGAATACGAATTGCTTTAATCTCACACCTTGCATCTTCCACAGAGTCCTGCATCAGAGCATCCTAAAAAAATACATCAATCTGTCCAGTATCTTAAGAGTTCATCCTGTCCTTTACAGGAAAGATGGAAACACAGCCTTTGATTGCAGAGTGTGCACACAGACATTTAAGTGTGTAAAATAAAGCCTCATCTATGCATCAAAAAAGAGATCTAGTTCTAACTTGCTTTCTATATTACCTTTACAGGACAGTCTCTGGCTATTTGAATAGTCACAGAAATCCCTGACTCCCCTGGAATCCTCTGAGCAGCATGAGTAACTGGACTGAGTGTCAAAGCTCTAAGAATCTGCTATAAACTACTTCATTTAAAAGAAAAATAAAAATCCTGTATTTGAAGGCACCCCTACTACTGTTATGCTGCTATGCCAAAAAAAAAACAAAAAACAAAACCAAAAAACAACCCAAAACCCCACAAACAAAGAAAAAAGGCAAAAAAAACCCAAACAAACCCAACCCACAAACAAACAAAAAACCAAACCACCACACTAACACGAAAAATGCCTTCTCCAATCATCAGTCATTTGGAAACTGACAACTGGGCAATAAATACAGGAAGTAGCAACTGAGATTATAGCAAGCAAATGGAGGACAGATGAAGTTATCCAGCTACTAGAAATTTTCTGTAACTTTCATTTGCTACTCAACTACTGAAAACAGTATAACAATCAATAGTTTTGTGTAATATCAATTCATTGTTCATTGTAGATTGTATTAGGCTTCAGTTTGGGCTTTTTAATATTTAAGAAGTTGGAATTCACTGCAAACAGATTCTTCTACAGTCTCCTGGTTTTTGCTTTAAGCGTTAGCACATAAGGCTAATATAGAGAAAGTGTTACTATTACGCTATAATTCCTCTAATGGATTTAGAGTTGAGCGGACCTGTAAGGCAAATCGTATATGTATAAAACCCCCACAAATCAGAAAACACCACACCCTCCATTGTACTTATTCTAGGTAAAGTGATCACAGACTCATCCAAGATTTTATCACTGCAAAATCCATTAACGTTAGGTATAACTAATACAAGAATTCATGTCAATTACCTATGCATCTTCAACAGCTGGTATAGAAGAAAAGTCTTAAGATAAAAAAACAAGTACACACAGCTTTGGTTCACCTTCCCAATCTCATTGCTAAAGTTTACAGTTGTTTCATGATTTGCTTTTAATAACAAAACAAAAATCCTTACAGTTTGCCTTCATGTGGATCTTCTTCTCTTACCTAATAGGAGAATTAACATATTAAGGATATGACAACAGTATGCTTGAGTTTAGAAGAGTTAACTTCATAAATTAAGACCTTCTGTAGAAATAAACAGCATTAATAAGTCCAAGACATTTTTTAACTAGGTGGCTTATTGCACATTTCACATAAAGAAGTTTTCAACTTCATTCATTAAGTGGAAATTCAGCCATAACACTTTATTTCAAAAGATTGTTTCTGTCACTCTTTAAGTCCTTCTTTATATGTGGTAACTTCAACTTTACCGAACTTCAATCGTTGATATAGAAATCAATAATATATATATCTATGCTGCAAAACAAACATCATCAAGACTCCAAAGCAATGGTGAACTTCTTTACAAAAAGAATGTGGGAGGATGGGGTGGGTGTTTCTGTCCATTAAACCATCTCTTTCCTGCAGTGATTCAATTACCTTTAGGTCACCTGGTTAGCTTCCTGACTTAGGATAAGCACTTCTAGGTATAATTAAGTCATCAGTAGACTTTTTAACCCACACTTGGGCCTTAAAAAAATAAAATAAAAAAATCAAACCAACAGACATTCCACGGTGCAAAATTTCAGTCTATGCATTTATGAATAATTCATAGCAAGAATACAATTGACTGACTAGCAAGTTCTTTATCAAAACTGCCTTAAGGAGCTGCCTAATAAGTTCACAGTATCGTTCATTGGCACATGAACTTGCTTGGATAATGTGAATAAGTACTTTGTTTGGATACTGAATTAGACTTAGAAGTTTGTTAAACTATTTAAAAAGTGACAGATTCAATTACTGCAGGAAAGTTTAGAAAAGTACATAAAATCAGGCAGTTAAATGCCACTAGTTTGGGTTTATTTCAACGTCATCTTATACACACACAAAATAAAATAAATAAAACCAAAAAATCTCAGTTCTGCAACAAAACAATATAAAATTTCTTACCACTTCTTCTATCAGATCTTCTACAATAAGACCTTGCTCATCTGTCCGTAGATTTGTAACCCACATCCAGCCATCTTCCAATTCATTATGGACAATAAACATATCTCCTTTAAGGAAACTGAAGAGTGTTTCAATAAGATTTATGTTAGAAGTACAATCACAATACAAAGTTTAATGAACACAATGCATTCTTGAGCATAATTTCAGCAAAATATTTGAGGAAATCTGAAGATAAAAGATACATTTATTGGTATCCCAAGCACACCACATGCATTTTTCACACAGTTTAAGTAGATATGATAGAGGAACATTTATCCTTCTTCAATTTACATTTAGAATCTAATAGATACTTTAAAGTGTGCTATGGGCACATAAAACAAAAAACTACAGTAACATTAAAAGATAGTAACATTCTTCTGAGAAATCAAGAGGGATCAAATACTAAACACAAGTAAAAACAATCAGAGATTCTCTTAATAGCCTAAGAAAATGATACTTTAATCAAAACCTATATTTGTATAATAAAGCCTGTGGATATCTACTATGTAGGTCTTTGCATATGCAGATAAGTGCTAAAAAGAAGATACAGAACAGTTCATTGAAAAGACATGCAGTTAGCTACAATAAGAGCATAAATACAAAGCATTAAAACACCCAAGGTAGTTTCATTACTGAAAGGTTAGAAAAGCCTGTCCTTAAGCATAATCCCACTCAGGTGTACTGGTTTTGGTCAGTATAGAGTTAAATTTCTTCATAGTAGCTCCTATGGTGCTATGTTTTCAAACTGGGCTAAAAATAATATTGAGAACACACTGATGTTTTATTTATTGCTGAACAGTGCTGACACAGCATCAAGGCCTTTTCTGGTCTTCACACTGCCCTGCCAGCAAGTAGTTCAGAGGTGTACAAGAAGTTGGGAGGGGAAACAGCTGGGACAGCTGACCCCAACTGACCAAAGGGATATTTCAGACCATACAAAACTGTGCTCAGCAATAAACTGGGGGTAGAAGTTGCCAGGTGGTGACAGTGTTCAGAGACTGGCTGGGCATCAGACAGTTGGTGCTGAGCAATTGATTTCATTTGAATCATTTGCCTTTCTTGGGTTTTCTTTTTCTCTCTCTTTGTTGGCTGGTGCTTGGGTTTTTTCCCTTACAATTAAAAAAAATATTCTTTCTAAATATTAAACTTTCTTTATCTCAAGCCAAGAGTTTCTTTCTCATTTTTACTTTTCCAATTCTTCCCCCATTCCACCGAGGGAATTCGATGGCAAAGTTTATTACTTATTAAATGGATGGTAAAATTGAGCAAAAGATCATAAAACCATAAAATAGTAAGGGTTGGAAAGGACCTTAAGATCATCTAGTTCCAACCCCCCTGCCATGGGACACCTCACACTAAACCATGTCACCCAAGGCTCTGTCCAACCTGGCCTTGAACACCGCCAGGGATGGAGCATTCACAACTTCCTTGGGAAACCCATTCCAGTGCCTTACCACCCTCACAGTAAAGAACTTCTTCCTTATATCTCACCTAAAACTCCCCTGTTTAAGTTTGAACCCGTTACCCCTTGTCCTATCACTACAAGAAGAGTTGTCCTAGGTCCAGCAGTAGCAGTCATTTTTTCTCCTTCTTGGTAGCTGGTGCAGCACTATGTTTTTGACTTTCGGCCTGGGAATAGAGCTGATAACACCAATGTTTTTAGTTGTTGCTAAGTCATGTTTACTCTGACCAAGGACTTTGTGAGCCTCATGCTCTGCCAGGGAGGAGGGGAAGCCAGGAGGAAACAGACAGGACACCTGACCCAAACTGACCAAAGAAGTATTCCATACCACAGCACGTCATGCCCAGGATGTAACTGAGAGTTACCTGGAAGGGCTAGGACTGCAGGGTTGGATGAGGTATCAGTCAGTGCTCGGTCGGGTGGGGTGGGGCAAGTTATCGGTCGGCTGGTGCTGAGGTGTTGTATTCTCTTCCCTTGTTATTTCCTTTGTCATTATTATTATTGGTGGTAGCAGTAGTGATTTGTGTTATAACTTAGTTACTAAACTGTTCTTATCTCAACCCGTGGGAGCTGCATTCTTTTGATTCTCCTTCCCATTCCTCCGGGAGCAGAAGGAGGGCAAAAAGGGGGGGAGTGAGAGAACGACTGCGTGATTTATGGATGACTGTTTAAACCACAACAAGAGTCCTTCTCCAGCATCCTTCTAGGCCCCCTTCAGATATTGGAAGCCTGCTATGAGGTCTCCACACAGCCTTCTCTTCTCCAGGCTGAACAGCCCCAACTTTCTCAGCCTATCTTCATACGGGTGGTGCTCCAGCCCCCTTAGACCAAAGGCACGAAGGATAAGGGCATCCCTCCCATTGAGTCACAAGGTTCAGACTAGATCCCCTTGCTTTCTAAACTCCTGATGCGGCTGGATCTAGACATAGTCTCAGGCTAGAACAATGGTATTCATCTAAAAGGCTACAAGTGTCATTTAGCATCAGCTTGCAGTTTTAAGGTGAATTGCAAGATTTCTAACACTTGATTATTAAAGCTAATATACACACACTTGCAATCATATAATCATAGAATGGTTTGGGATGGAAAGAACCTTATGATGATCGAGTTCCAATGCCCGACCATGTCACCCAAGGCCCTGCCCAATCTCACTGCCGGGGATGGAGCATTTACCACTTATTTGGGCAACTTGTTCCAGTGCCTCACAACCCTCACAGTAAAGAACTTCTTGCTTATACATAAACTGAATTTCCTGTTCAAGTTTTAACCCATGGTCCCCTGTCCTATCACTACAGTCCTGATGAAGAGTCCCTCTCTGGCATCCTTGTAGGCTCCCTTCTCCAGGATAAACAGCACCAATTTTCTCATGCTGTCTTTGTATGGGAAGTGCTCTAGGCCCCTTCTCATCCTCATGGCACTCCTTCGGACTTGATCCAAAAGCTCCATGTCCTTCTTACACTGGGGACACCAGAACTGCATACAGTACTCGAAGTGGGTTCTCATGAGAGCAGAGTAGAGCAGCAGGATCACCTCCTTCGACCTCCTAGTCACACTTCTCTTGTTGCAGCCCAGTATACAGTTGGCTTTCTGGGCTGTGAGCGCACACTGCTGGCTCATGTTAAGTTTTTCACCAACCAGCACTCCCAAGTCCTTCTCTGCAGGGCTACTCTGAATCACTTCTCTGTCCAACCTGTAGCTGTGCCTGGGGTTGTCCTGACCCAGGTATAGGACCTTGCACTTTGCATTGTTGAACTTCCTCAGCCCACGTCTCAAGCGTGTCAAGGTCCCTCTAGATGGCAACTCTTCCCTCCAGTGTCCCAACTGAGCCACACAGTTTAGTGTCATTGGCAAATGTGCTGAGGGAGCACTCAATACCACTATATCACCAACAAAGATGTTGGACAGGATCAGTCCCAACACCAACCCCTGAGGGACACCACTCTTAACCAGCCTCTACATGGACACTGAGCAGTGTACTGCAACAATCTGCACATGGCCATACGGCCAAATCTTTATTCACCTGGTGGTCCACCCATTAAATTTATGTCTCTCCAGTTCAGACAAGGATGTGCAGGGCATTGTCAAATGCCTTGCATACAGGTATATGATGTCAAGTGCTATGCCCCTATTCATCAGTTCTGTAGCCCCATCATAGAAGGCCACCAAATTAGGCAAGATTTCCATTTAGTGAAGCCATGTTGGCTGTTACCAACCACCTCGTTGTTTTTCATGTGCCTTAGCATGCATTCCAGGAGAATCTGCTCCATGATCCTGCCAGGCAAAGAGTTGATACTGGTCAGTAGTTTCCTGGGTCTTCCATTTTCCTCCTCTTGAAAATGGGGGTTTGTGAGAGACTGATCTGAAATCAGACTCCACTGTCCATTGTCTCAAAGATTGGTATGAGAAGCTGAGATGGGACTACACTGTTCACTGCCTGAGGGACGAGTGGGAAAGAGCTAATATAAGACTCTTCCAACCATTTCCTGGAAGACTGGTGTGAGGAATTGGAATGGAACTCCACCACTGTCTCAGAGATGGGTGGGAGGAGTTGAGATAAGACTCTTTCATCCATTGCCTGGGAGAAGGGAGTGAGGAGCTGAATTGGGACTCCACTATCCATTGCCTGAGGGATGAATGGGAAAGAGCTAAGACTCATCTGTCCACTACCTGGAGGACTGGTGTGAGGAATTGCTGTCCATTATCCCAAGAATTGCTGCAGACAGGCAGTTGAAAAGCTCCTGCCATTAAAACTGGTCTAGAAGGAAGAGATGACATGAAGAACATAGGTACTCCCCCCAACTCATTATAAAAGGGGGAGTAAGACATCCCCAAAATGGGTACCTTCAAGGGGAAGACTCCAGAAAAATGCCTCCACGAGGACACCCACCTCCAACAGACTCTTGGGGGACACTCTGCTCTGGTACCGACTATGAACCCTGAAGAACTACCACCACCAACAACAATGACAGTGGATCCCTGGGACACCCCTTGATCCATGGTGATGACACTCTCTCTCTTTCTCTGCACCCCGAATCCTTGCTTCATTTTCTACCTTTTTTCCAATCTGTCCTATTGCTATACCCTTTATTACAATATTTTCCCTTTTTTATAATAACTGTCTTTTTGTAATTTGTAATAAACTTACTAATCGATTACGGTACTTGACCTCATTTGTGTCTTAATTTCACTCCTGGGATCACGAATTGAAACAGGGTCCGGCACCGGGGTTTTCTCCGATCAGACCCTGACAGGGTTATATTTCCCTTTTCCCAGTCATCAGAAATTTCACTTGACTGCCGTGATTTTTCAAATATGATGGACAGTGGCTTAGCAACTTCATCCACCAGTTCCCTCAGGACCCGTGGATAAATTTCATCACATCCCATGGACTTGTGCACATTCAAGTTCCTAAGATGATCTCGAACCTGATCCTCTCCAACAGTGGGCCTAAGGTCTTCATTCTCACAGTCCCTGAATCTGCCTTCCAAGACGTGAGTGGCATGGTCAGAGCACCTGTCGATGAAAGCTGAGGCAAGGAAGTCATTGAGAACCTCAGCCTTCTCCAAATCAAGGGTAGACAGCTCTCCTGAATGCTTCTGGAGAGGACCCACATTATC